TCATGTTTTCAATCTTATATCTTTCATTAGGTGGCAACTCATTGATATGAAAAATTATGGGCCAAAAAGAAATTTTTTTAGATTTAAATAAAGCCACTCCATCAGAATAATATCCTAATGAAAATGTTAGAGGTAATTTTAGAAATTCCAGCTCTGAATTGTACACGCTGCCATCAACAATGGATTCGTAATTTTCAGGGAATTTCTTAACACGCATGTGCTTGTTACGTATAAATCCTTGGATGTTGTTTCGCTGAAATATACACTGTAGTTGATCTTGCATTGGAAAATAAATGAAATTTGATGGAGCCAACTTTTTTTTCAAGCAAAGCGTTTTTTTGCATTGCTCGGAGTGTTCTAAATTTTTAATGCAAGTTGAACAGTAATTTTTTTTTACAAATGAGTATTTTTTTGTAAAAAATTTACGAACTTTATATGTAGTTATTTTCGTGCCGTAAAATAGATTTTTTTCTTTTGCTTTTGGGTGGACATTGTTAATCAAATCTAGTAAATCGGTAAGACCATCATATGAAATCTTGTGTTTGAGCATAAACGCTACCATCATTAAAACAAATTCATTTGATGTCACTCCAGTTATTGAAATAAAATCTTCTTCAACTCCAGATAGATTGATATGCTTACAGTCACTTTCATGCTCCATTTCAACATCACTGTGTATCCAGTCATCTTCGATTTCAAAATTATCATGTCGAAAGAGATCTGAAACATTGTTTTAAAATAAATGTAAAAAACCTCCTTAGCTTAGTTTCTTAAATATCTTAATATATAAAAAAAGTATTAATTGGAGATTATTTATTATTAATTAAACTGGCATTGCAAAAAAGGCTTAAAATATTAATTGTTCTCAATAAAATATAAAAATTATAATGAGGTACATGCACCCATCAGTTAATCTATTTATCCATTATGCAACGATACCCCCATCTGCTCCGCTGTATGTTTTAAATTTTACATGCCATTTTACTATATTAATTTAATTTCAAAAAATTATAAACAATTACAATAAATTGAAGAAATCGACCATTCATTATGAGCTTTTCTATCCTAAAAGTAATTTAGCAAAAAAAAAAAAAGGCTGAAAGTAATAATCAGTGCACCACTGGAATGGAAGAAAACAATAATTATCTTGTAATAAAATTTACCTCTATGATCGTGGAAGTCCTGCTCACTTAAAGTGTCATTGATGATATATTGGCTAACTTCATCTCCTTCCTGTGTACTCTCATCGATGTCCATCTTTAAAATATACAAAAGCAAATATAAACAAATGGATTGCATACAATAAAGAAGTAAATAACGCAAAATAAAATTATTTAAAATGTATTGAGTTTGTTAAATTTGATTACTCTTAATCAAGATGCTTGGGATTGTATTTTATTTTTAGAAACAAAGAAGCATAAAAAATAAAAATAGAATGCTCTGCTGTCATAAATCTGTGAGCTCATATAGTATTATTTTAATGGAAATAATAATTTCAATATTGAAAAGTTTAAATATTTTATGCAGAAATGACTTTCATTAATTAAATTTTTGAATTTATATATTAACTAGTTTTCATGTGATATGCAGATATGCAAGTGAGTGAAAAATATATTTTGTTGTTGCAGCTTATTACAGCTGATTTAATTACTTTGCGCAGCCAATACACAATTTTTATTTACTTTGCTCTGCTCTGTTCATGAATGTAAAATTAAAAAAATTATTATTGTCGAAATAAAATTTGCTTCATAATTATTTGGCTATTGATAAATTTTTATTAATAGACACCTCATTTTCCCTGGTGATTTTCTCATACTCGGCCAAATTTACACGCGCTGCTAATTCACCGCGCGCGTTCAGACGCGCGAACGTTTTTTTTTCGTGTTGATTTTAAGAATTCAATACATCAGCTTTGGTTTAGATAATTAAGTAAACAATTGTTAGGTGTATGAAATATTTTAATAAATCTTAACTAGAACAAGATAAATTTACGTCCCACTAGAATTTTGTTTACGTTCATATAAAAAATAAAGGAAATTAAAAACAAGTATATAATACCTTTAGACAAAATGTAGTTTAAATTCCTTTCATAGACGTGGTAACGTCAGATTTATTTATTCATTTTTTTTTTTGCTTAAGTTTAGGAGTATTGATGTCAAAAAATATAACAAGCAGCACTTGTCTTCATCAGAAGTTTGAGGTGCTATTAAATATTAATTTCTAATTAGTAATTAGTAATTCTAAACAGCTGAACATATTTTGATGAATTATGAATTCTAGGTTTATTTTAAATTTCTCATGTATTTTGCCATCTTGAGAAGAATAAAAAGAAATTTTCTACGCAAAAAATAATTACCGCAAAAAGAGAATTTAAGTCTCCTATATGTAAGTAATAAAAAATAAAAAATCTGACGTCACCACGCCTATGAAAAAAATTTAATAAAATTTAATTGTATACATTTTGCCTATAAAAGTAAATTTTTTTAAATCGCCTCTCTTTTTTTTAAAATAAACAAATTTCTCGCAGAAGCTAAAATTACTCTACTTCTATTTTTTTAAATATTTCATATCCAAAAAAAATTGAACGTTTATTTAAGAATCTGCCAATACTGATATTTTGAATTCTTAATTAAAGCATATAAAAAAAAAATTGCGTTCGCGCAAGTCGCAAATCTGAACGCGCGCGGTGAATTAGCAGCGCCTGTAAATTTGGCCGAGTATGAGAAAATCATCAGAGAAAATTAGGTGTCTATCAATCAAAATTAATCAACTGCTAAATATTATGAAGCAAAGTTAATCTTGTCAATAAGAATTTTTTTCAATATTACATTCATGAACAGAGCAGAGCAAAAAAAACTGAAATACAAAATTTGATAACCAGAGCTACTTTCACTTCTAATTGCCGTAGAGTTATGAATCAAACTGCGCTAGTGTCATCTTTTTATGGAGATTTCAAATACATCAAAATTGTTTCGAAATTCCCACGAGAAAGTATTTTTTTACATTAGGAAACACTAGGAATGCGAGCACGAGTGTGTGCGTTTGCTGGTGATGAGTCATTAGGAAGGACTTCATTCCATCTGGCATGATTATTTCTTTAAATAAATGAGAGACTTGTTGGAACTTTTTATTCTCCCTTGGTGATTGTTATGTGATTTTATTTCAAATATTTTTCTAAATAATAATATTTCAAACATGCGTGGCTTTCAATCTTTCAGAGAATTAATTGCAAAATAGGGGAAAACTCCACCTTGCATATCGCATATCTGCATGACTGAAAAGCTATCCACCAGCAAAATATAAACTTCCGCTCTTCAAACTATACTAATAAGTCGACAGGACTCGCTAAACATGTCACAAAAATTTATTTCTCCTAAATTTCTGTAAGGCACTCTGCATTAAAATAAATCAATAAATATTGATTTTTTGAATGAAAAGAAACTCAATAAGGAGAACAAAGATAATTACCTTCTTAGCCACGGTGATAAATTATTTGTATATTCGGAGGCTGCAAATTCGCACCACTCTCACAATCACAGAGCGACGAATGATTAGCGCGAATGCCGCGAGCACTCCGCTTTCTTGTGATGCTCGCTGGATGAATTCTGATGAATAACACAGCACAGTAGCCAAGGAGTTTGGAACCAAACTCCTTGACAGTAGCACACCACACCAAAATACACTGGGAGCTTCTGCCAGAAATGCGCACATCATAAAAAGGAGAGGAGAGAATAGATCCCTGACAGTGTTGGGAAAATGTTTGAAATTAAAAATAACAAGGTGCCAATATTTGTAACATTTACAAATTTTTTATAATTATGAACTCGTGATTCCTGAAATTTGCGTTTTAAATACAATTAAGTTACATATAATTAGAAGCAATGTATGCCATTGAATGATGAGATATATTAGTCGCTTTGGCAACCATGTATGTTGGTGTTGGACAGAGCAGAGCCGCGATCCCGCGATCCGTCCTCAATAGGTTCACAGAAAAGGCTGGGGTGAAGAGTAAACAACAATAGCCGCAGGGTTCAAGCTGCTTGCACTTGGCCGGGCGCAAATAGGAGAGGCAGCAAAAGGAACGAAAAATATTTTTCGTTTCTCCTGTTTGTGGAATCAGCTGATTGCCTGTTAAAAATTCATTTCATTTTTTAATTTTTTGCCACTGTTCAAATCGCATCAAAATTGCGCGAAATACTTCATTAAATTATAAATAAATACCTTTACACAATGCGTTTTACTTAAAAAATAAAAATTATTGGAAGGTTCTTTAAATTTGAAAATTATGGAATTTTGATTAATTTTTGAAGAATATTTTTTTTACGAGTTAGAGGCTTCTATGTAAGAACGGAAAAGGTTTGCTTGGTGAAATTCCCAACAGCGGTTCTCATAATAACACGCTCAATAGATTTTCATTTTTGACGTGTTTTTTCACACTTTGAATTTAACATAGGAAAAACAATAGGAGCTACAAATTTCTTTGCAACGTGATTTTGTGCGCAAAGATGGGCCTAATTTAAGAAATTTTTAAATCTCATCTTCGTTAAATAGAAAAAGAAAATTTTTTTAATAAAAATGCTAATTTTCATAGTTTTTTCTCAATAGCTTGCTGAAATTGCTTTCAAATTGTTTAAAAAAAATTGTGAACCCAAGTGGGGCAGATATATCCTACTCCATAAAATTGGGAGCTCACTGCTTTAATAGAAGTTGAGATATGACCAATTAATGCATTTTTAGCACTCCGTTTCTCGGCGGCACGAAAATCCAGCCGTGCGCTGAGAGGAGAGCAGAGCCGAAATTTAGATAACACTCGAAAGCGAGAATTCAAAATTGTATAACTTTGCTCCTAATTAAAATAAAAGACTCAATTTTCAAAAAGCGATTCAATTTTCATTTAGGCATCAACTTTGGTATCAATAATTTTTTTCGTAACTAGAACTGGAGGCCAGATATAATTAAATTTTGATATATTGCATAAAAATAATGACTATAACATTAGAAATGAGGGTTTAACGCATTTGATGAAAATCTAAAGGTTTAAATTGGATTGATGGCAAATGAATAATAAAAACTCTGTTTTTGAGGAATCAAAATTAATTATATCAAAGAGTATAATTAAGCAGATTTCTTACAAATATGACGACGTTCACGATGTAGAGACATACAATATTTGAACAATATGTATGTTCGATTATTTTTTAAATAAAGTGAGTATAATTATATACTCCTTGATTAATTTCTTATCGATAAATCACGATTTTTTAATTTTTATTTTTATTTTTGCATGAAAGATCAAAATTTAAATTATATCTGGCCTCCAGTTCTAGTTACAAAAAAAATTATTGATACCAAAGTTGATGCCAAAATGAAAATTGAATCGCTTTTTGAAAATTGAGTCTTTTATTTTAATTAGGAGCAAAGTTATACAATTTTGAATTCTCGCTTTCGAGTGTTATCTAAATTTCGGCTCTGCTCTCCTCTCAGCGCACGGCTGGATTTTCGTGCCGCCGAGAAACGGAGTGCTAAAAATGCATTAATTGGTCATATCTCAACTTCTATTCCAATTTTATGGAGTAGGATATATCTGCCCCACTTGGGTTCACAATTTTTTTTAAACAATTTGAAAGCAATTTCAGCAAGCTATTGAGAAAAAACTATGAAAATTAGCATTTTTATTAAAAAAATTTTCTTTTTCTATTTAACGAAGATGAGATTTAAAAATTTCTTAAATTAGGCCCATCTTTGCGCACAAAATCACGTTGCAAAGAAATTTGTAGCTCCTATTGTTTTTCCTATGTTAAATTCAAAGTGTGAAAAAACACGTCAAAAATGAAAATCTATTGAGCGTGTTATTATGAGAACCGCTGTTGGGAATTTCACCAAGCAAACCTTTTCCGTTCTTACATAGAAGCCTCTAACTCGTATAAAAAATATTCTTCAAAAATTAATCAAAATTCCATAATTTTCAAATTTAAAGAACCTTCCAATAATTTTTATTTTTTAAGTAAAACGCATTGTGTAAAGGTATTTATTTATAATTTAATGTAGTATTTCGTGCAATTTTGCTGCGATTTGAACAATGGCAAAAAATTAAAAACAAATGAATTTTTAACAGCAATCAGCTGATTTCACAAACAGGAGAGACGAAAATTCTGTTTGGTTTTTTTCGTTGTTTGTTTGCGTTTATAAAAAATCCTAAATATGGATGTACTTCTAACTTGCCAATTAGAACTTAACTACTAAATTATTGTTGAAAGTTAGATATTTAAAATTATATATATATATAATTATAATAATTTTATAATATTATATAATTATATAATATCATATAAAATATCATTATCCCGTATCAGCAGAAATTGCCTTTGTAATAGATAAAGAAACGCGTTTTGCAACATAATATTATACTTTGATAAATAAGTTTAGAAAATAATAAACAAATTAATTAAAATTCTTTGTCTCAACTTAATGATAGATGGCTCCTTGCATTAATGAACACTTATTTTAATTCTGTTCTATAATATCTTAGACCTGTGATTTAACGTGCATAAAATTAAACCTCCAATGGGCCCTTTCAAATCACCCCTCCTCCATACTCAGGTCTGGAAGATGCTCTCTCGCTCAGGCAGCAGGCAGCTCAGTTCACCTTCACCCACACCCAGTACATCCCCGTCGTCGCTCATGGTCATTCGTCTCTTCTCGTCTATAGTGGGCTCCATACTATGGCGATGCAAAAGGCAATGGCAATAAGCCCAAACTCTATTCTAAATGAAATCGAAATTTTTGATAACGAGTCTCCCTTATTATCTGCAAACGAGCCGGTGCATTATTTGAAAGCTACAGTTGTGGATCAAGTGACAAAGGAGGAATTCATCGTCAACGCAAATATTGCTATTCGAAAGGAAGATCGAGTTTTATTCAAATCCGGTGTTGAGGCGACCTTTCCTGGAAATGTGGTTCGAACCGTGAGAATCATTGGATTAGGAGGTGAGTAAAATTTTTGAAATTTTCCTTGAATCATGTGATATTTTTTTTGTATCTTGAATTTTTTTAAATTACGCACAAGAATAGGGTCACCATTGTCACCAACAAAATTAATTTTTTTATAGGAAACACTGTATCATAGAAAATTACAGAAGACCGTCTAATTACGTAGAAATTTCTCTTCAATTAGATCTGAATTAGATATTGAAACTTGCTTTATTTAGTTTTATATTGGAGAATATAGAACGGGACAACAGTTCATAATAATTATACAACTTAATATGGCGTTTTAGAGAAGAAAGATCTTAATTATGACACCGATAAAAATAATTATACAAAATAAAAAATATTAAATTGATAAATTTAAAATATAAATTGGTCCCATTAATAAATTGATATGAAACCAGCGTTTTTTAGTTGTTATTCGTGCGTGTGTCCCAAGGATGATAGCAAATGCACGTTTCTTACTTACAATATAGTGTAACGGGATATGTTGTGGAGTAGTATATACCTGCTTTGTAGCGGTTCTTTGCGGTTCTTTGAATGGGGCCCCCTGCTGATTGTGAGGCATTTCATTATAATGCTTCAAGCAAGGTGCAACGTCTCGGGAGTTGTATCACACTTGACAACTTATTATTGAGTTTTGCTTCTTGCACGTATAATAATACTTTGAAATACTGATTACTGATGTGTTTAATTGAAAGTCGGCCTTTTCTCTATTTGTTTTGATTATACCTTGTTTTGATTATACTCATACGTTTGTTGGTTTACATAGAAATATAAAAATTAAATCCAGTCCTGCATTTTTTGCTACCGGAAGTCGAAATAAAGCAGGATATTTTTTTTTTCCAAAAATTACTATAAAAAACCTATTGATGAAAAGTCTTCTTTCAAATGAACATTATATCAAACCTCAACAGACAATTAGAATAAATGAATATTCAACCAAGGTTTGGTTCTTTTTTAAATTATATGAATAAATCATTCAGTGAAATTTGAAGATTGCGCCGCTTGAAAAGTTAAGCACTCTCTTTCTTATTTATCTATACATTGGCCATTTTGGGATGCAGCGCTCTTGCAGTCCACGCCAAGGCCAATTTAATTTTTTAAACTCAAATTAATGATCATTTAATATAAAAATTTAAAAAAAGCACCAACATAACTTTTATATTTTTCTAAATATTGTTATTTCCTTAGTCGCCATTATCCACATTTTATCCGCTTTTTATCTAGACATGTCTAGATAAAAAGCTAATTAAATGCAACTGGGGCTATTTATTTTTCTCCTTCAATACATAAATTTCAAAATTTATAAAAGATATCCTAATTGTATAATTTAAATTTGTTTTTATCACACTTTAATAAAATTTATATCAAGTATTTCAAATTATTTACATTTTGATTGATAAACATAGGTTCATTACAAAGGGAGACTAGAAATGTCATATAGGACCTCTAACTAATTAGTTGATTATTTGTTCAATTTTCAGTTTTTTTTTTTTGCTTAATATTACATCACTAACACTAACGCATTTTTTTATTAGATTCGGCCACTCTTTTCAATTTGAATTTATCATGTACAATTTATAAACCATACAATTATTCTTATTTCAAGTTTTGGATCAAAAGCAGCAAAAAGGATGTTTTGTTTACAAAGGGAACATTAGAACTAAAATATTTTCAATGGAAAGATTTCTTTCCGAGAAATCCTGAGATCCATTCTATGCCACCAACAGAGTCTCTTTCTCTGAAGAGGGTTGTTTTTAACCCAGAATAAATTTTCTGACAAGAAAGGGAGAAAAATAAGTAGCGTCCAGCTCAATTCTGGCGTGCATGTCTTTCCTCTCCTCTCCCTAAAGCCCTTTCACAAAGTGGAAGTTGTCAGCGCTTCAAGTTTCTTTCTATAATTTTCCTTCACCTTTATAATCCTCAAGTCTCCAGAATGTCACTTATTTTTTTTTCTCATGGAGCTTGACAAAATGTGTTTCAGTTCGTGGAAAATGCAATGAATTGGAAAATTCTTTTAGAGATATATGGGAAATTTTTGCAGTGGCGACAACTTAAAATTATCCATCCATCTTTTATTTTGTTTCATTTTAATAAATCAGGCCATAATGCTTTGAATTATAAATTAACGTTAAGAAATTTTTTTATAATTCCTCAAGTTGCGTTCAAATTGATATGTTCAATTAAAATGACGGCTTTTCCAATGTTGAATATTTTGTAAAATACTTCCTTTATATATTATACATATGCATTCTGGTTGAACATGAATGGGAAAATTACTTTATGTGGTCAGCATATGTGATAATATTGAAAGTGTGTATCTCTTACATTCAAGGGCAATTGGCTAGTTTTTAATAAACCAGCATCATTCTCTCATCTGCCGACAGAATTTATGATTAGGTCCCACGGATATAATAGAAATATTCCAAGTATTGTGAATTTTAGTTCGGCAAAGGAAGATTATTGTATTTCAAAGTGCATTTCTATGTAAAAAAAAGGTCTTTGATTCACATCCATGCCGACTTTATGGCAGGAAGAGCGCAGAAAGAAAAGCGCGACCGCCACCTACAGAATATTTTGCTTTTCACCTTTTTGTCGGCATGATCCCCTCTTATTTACGCGGAGTTGCAGCGAATATTGGTGCTTTGTCGCTGACAAGTTGATGTTTTTAGTATCTTTTTGTTGTGCACTTCTGTCTGCTGACAAAGGATGAGGCTGTTGTTGTATTTCTCCATGAACGCGCGACAGCACCCTGAGCCTTCTTTTCTTTCTTTGGCGCCTGCATAGAATTTAGAACCACCTTTTCTTTAACAAGAATTCTTTCCCTCCTCATTTATTATCGTTTTGTGGTAAACACCTAAATCTGCCAGTCAGCAGGCAGAAATTAGAAAGAAAAAAAAATGGAATAAATTGGCCATCAAAGAGAGGCTAATTGATGCAAAAGTTGATGCTAATATTTTTCACACAAAGTCTACTTTAACGTCACATCTGCACTCTTATTATGTCCTTATTGAATCGCTTATAGTATAAGATTTTCCGGGAAAGCAAGTGTCTTTAGTCCCCGTTTAGCGCCGAGTACTTTCCACTTAAGTTGCTTTATTTCAGCTGCTCTATTCCTATTCCCAAAAAGAAAGGTGACCGAACTTACACTTCACTTTTTAACTTTCTTGATTCAAAATAAAGACAAAATGTTTGATATATTTTCAAAATATTTTGCATAGTGAGCAAAGAGCGCACAATGCGCTCTGCAATCTACGCTCGCGCTTGCGATCAGAGCGCGAGCGCAGCTTCTTTATAGACTCTGCGAGCGCGAGAGCAATTTTATAAAGAAATCGTGCGCTCTTTTGCGCTCATCATTTTTTTTTTTTTGCCGCAGCAAGGATTTTTAAATTTAATTTAAGACATTCCAAGGAATTTTTCTTCTTTCTGCCAGGTGAATTATTACTTTTTAATTAAATTTTATATAATCTTTCACCTTTTTTTAATTTAGGTTTTGCTCAGTTTGAGAAGTGGGAAAAATGATTTATCTATAATATTAGAGTGGACTTGTTCTAGTTGCATACTTTTAATACTAAATGGAATCCTCAATGTCCGATTTTTGTCTCCATTTTCTGGAATTTAATCAAACGCTTTAAATGTTTGAATTTCATGGTCTTCTATATAAAAGCAAATTTAAAACTTACTAAATACATATTACATAAAAAAATCATTTTGTTAATTACCAACGAAAATTTATATTTTTTTTTTCTATGTATTGACTTTGGAAAATGTCTAAAAAGAGTGTGAAGAGCGCGAGCGAAAATTATCAATTGAGCTCATAGCGCAGTGTTCTTAGGGCTCAGCGATCGCGAGCGCAATAATCTACGAGCGCAGCCCACTATGATATTTTGAAACACGAAATTATAAATAAATGATTGAAAATTAATATATCATAAATATTATTTGTACATTACAAACTGATCAAGTTAAAATTCATTTTTAATTTTTTCATAATAAACTTCAACTTTTAATATGAATTATTTGAACAACCTCCTCTATTTCTAATTTTTACAGAAACAGGATCGCTTTCGGAAGCCATGGCCAAGACCGTACATACGCGTAATGCTGGGAGGCCAAACCCCAGCAACAAAGAGGACACTTTTAATCACAGTGGTAAAACTGCCGAGCTCGTTCTTCCAAACCGGCCAGCTCGACGAAGACGTGGAAGACCATCAGTAAAAAGAAACATTTTGCAAGAAAAGTCGACGAGGGCAGCCGCCCCAGCAAGTAATTATTAACAAAATTAATTTCCAATATAATTATTTTAAACATTTCTGTGTACAGCATCAAGGATAGCCGCACTGAACGAGGTTGAGTCAGTCACCCAACAGAAAAGCAATCAGAAGAAAGCTCCATCACCTATTCGTATTGGTTAGGTTTATTATAATTATTTACTGATACTTTGCTTCCGTTACACAAAATTTGAAAATCGCATTATATTTTTTTATTTTATAACAATGTAAAAAAAAAAACAGGAACTTAATAGCTGTAAGCTTATTGTTAATATAGTTGATTTGATAGAAATTTCATTTTTTAAATTTTTATTCGAAGTAAACGTTTGTGTTATGTTTATATGTTAAATCAAAATGCTAAAAAACTGTTACAGAAAAACACCTTAAAATATAATTATATATTTTTTTAAATTCTTTTACTTTGAAAAAAGTTGAAAGTTGAGTTTTTCAAACGCTCATATCAGTCTTATCACTTATCACTTCCTAAATTTTAAATTTTTCTGTTTTGAATCTTAAGCTTTTCTAAACCCACTTTTCATATTTTTAGATGAGATGATGAATGAGCATAATTCACCGAACCAGATTATAACACTTCAAGAAAACAGGTCCCCCATACCTAATCACAGCTCAACGGTATCTCAAAGCCAGTCAATGTATTGTAATACGAATCAACATTATTACAACCAGCAAAACAACTGTGTGCAACGTAAGTGTTTTAAAAGAGAAAATTGCGCTTGCGTCGAAGAGACAAATACATGCGCTTTGTCCCGATTGTTGAAATTTATTATTCAAATTAAACCGAAATGGCTCTACTAGTAAAACGGTTAAAGTCTCTTAAACATCCGCAGCTTTTTATTTTTAATTTGCCAAGTTTTCGTAACTTTGTCCAATATGAGAGCTTGTAGATCATTTAAAGAAACATAAAATTTTGTTTTGCATACATTAACACTGCAACATGGAAAACTTCCTTTTATCATATGAAATCGAGAAAAATAATAATTTATTACGTTAATTTCTTTTAGATTAAAATTTATAAACTGAGAATTTTAAAGATGTTCCCTGAGAATCAAGAAAATATCAATAGTTCCATTATAATACAAAATTTTTAAATTATTCACGTATTTTATAGTGTTATAATTTTTGCTCTTTATATTGTTTGCATAATCAAAAAAGCTAAGTTTCATTTCTTTAGTTGATATATAATTATAAAAATTAAATTTTCAGAAGGATTTGGAGAATACAGTACACTTGCAAATACATCAAGCTTTGCGCAACCAAATTTAGGGCCTGCTTACAATCAACAGCAACAGCCACATTTTAATTATTCAGGTATGTGTCTTAAATTTCGATTTATAATATAAATTGGTATGGGTCTGATTCGCAAGCAATAAACAGAACAACTGCAACTAAAAACAAGCATTCAAGGATGAAATTTCAAATAATAGCATACTCATCATTCTTAAAATTTAACTTTATAATGCAGGTGCTTATGGTCGGCGGTCTCCACTAACTATCGTCCAAAATACTGGGATGATTGGACAAAACAACCACTGTACATCAACATCACCGCCAACTTATTACCACCAAACATCTCCGTATGGTCAGAACAGAAATTCATCTGAAATAAGCGGAAATTCTCCACAGAATTCATTCTCCTCGCCAAATTCTCAAAACACATTGAATAGCCAAAACTCGCCATCATCTGATCAGGTATGAAATTCTATATCTTATGCAGATTATAGAATCATGCAAAAAAATATAAAAATAAAATTGACAAGATTAAATCTGTATGCCGAAGTTTACTATAAAAGTACATATCTGGAAATTTGGAAAAACTGATTGCAAAATAATTATAATTACATGATTTCAGTGGAAAATCGCTGCTGGTTTCCCTACAGTTTGTAGCAGAAAAATACAACGTTTAGTACTGAGCAAAACTCGGCAAATCCATGAATATCAGAAGGCACAAGAAGCTAACAAGAAAATACAGTGTTCAACATCTAGCGAACGAGATGAGAATAATGAAATTGATGGAGAGGAGCAGGAAACAGAAAATTCTCAGGATCCCGAAGGAAGAAACAGAAAGAGGGCTAGAAATGAGTACACGAAAACAAACCCTTTAGCAGCTGGATTGAAATTGTTTATGATTTTATACTTTGGAAAACAATTTATTATGGAGCATAATTACGATGGAAAAGGAAAAATTGGATCAACAGGCTTAAGTCCAGTTGAGAAGGAGGCTGTGCAAGCTATGAAATGTAAGTTTAAGTGAAGAGTAAAATTGTTATTTAAAATTATTATTTTATCAATAGATTACATGCAACACGTTGGAAAAACTGAGAAGATTCCCTTCACGGAGAGAGATTTAAAAGAAGGGCACAATTTCAACAAATGTTCTGCTAATTTGAGGGTGGCAAAGAAAAGGTATTTTTGAAATCATTTATATTTGCGTGTATGTGTATTAAAAATGATTCATAATTTTAAATTTAAATTTTTTCCTTACAGGGCTGAAGGAAAAGGCTTTACCTACGACATACCCGACGATTATTACCTGAAGCAGTTTCAATAGGGTTGCGGCTAACATTCATTCATATAAAGTTTGATAATATTATTAGTAATTCCAGTGGCCACAGCCCAGAATGCAAATGAGTTTCGCAATATGTAAAATAATAATATTATTAATAAAGTTATTGTATATAAAATTAGTTGTAATGAGAATAATAATAATGATGATCGTATTGCTTAATTTTCAACTTCATTTAAGTGACTGTTTAATGATAACATTAATGATGTTAAATATTTTACATAAAATTAATTTTTAATCAAATATTTCTTGTAAATAGTACTTAACTTGACGCATTTATAATTCATAATTAACACAGATTTTAGATATTGAATAATATTTTGAATGTTTTAAGAATTCTAAGCTAAGTAAGAGATTTGTGCTTGTATGAGTATCTTTAATTCTTAAATTTGCTTCTTATTTGAAAAAATAAAAAAAAGTACTCAATTATTTTAAAGAGTGGTTTTTATATAATAATGACACAAATGCACACGCATACACACAACGAAGCTTCCCATTTGGTCATGTAAAAAGTGTGATAAAAAAATTTATTTCCAATTTTTCATATGCTGATGCATAATTATGTCTAAAAACAACTAAATATTACGATATTGTAATTAAATAACGAATCACATAAGGATCAGAAAAGATTTCTATTAAATTTAGTGCAGCTTTATTTATAAAAGCTGCATTTTAGCAGACAGTGGTGGGATCTCCAACAAAAGAGGGGAAGGGTCGAGACGGAGCGAGTTTGACGAGCAGGTATAAAAATCATCTCCCATAAGGCCCATGTTAAACAGGTATACTTTTAAGAAAGAGAATACGTCCTGAATACTAAAAGTATCCATAAAGTAAACCTAAAGTATTGCTGTTGCGGACCTAACTTTTTTCTGTGAGTCGTCAGGTACCAATAAATATACGACTTGGAATTCATTGAAAAAAATGTGAAAACGTAGGGTCTTCATAAGTGTCACTGAGACCTTTTCAGAAAGTCAAAAAAAATATTTATAAGTACCAAGTACCTCATATTTTGAATTTTTAATTCTAAGTCCGATCATAAAAATCGACATATATCGTCAGGTACCAATAAATATACGACTTGGAATTCATTGAAAAAAATGTGAAAACGGGGGGTTCATAAGTGTCACTGAGACCTTTTCAGAAAGTCAAAAAAAATATTTATAAGTACCAAGTACCTCATATTTTGAATTTTTAATTCTAAGTCTGATCATAAAAATCGACATATATCGTCAGGTACCAATAAATATACGACTTGGAATTCATTGAAAAAAATGTGAAAACGTAGGGTCTTCATAAGTGTCACTGAGACCTTTTCAGAAAGTCAAAAAAAATATTTATAAGTACCAAGTACCTCATATTTTGAATTTTTAATTCTAAGTCTGATCATAAAAATCGACATATATCGTCAGGTTAGTCAGGTACCAATAAATATTAGACTTGGAATTCATTGAAAAAAATGTGAAAACGTAGGGTCTTCATAAGTGTCACTGAGACCTTTTCAGAAAGTCAAAAAAAATATTTATAAGTACCAAGTACCTCATATTTTGAATTTTTAATTCTAAGTCTGATCATAAAAATCGACATATATCGTCAGGTACCAATAAATATACGACTTGGAATTCATTGAAAAAAATGTGAAAACGTAGGGTCTTCATAAGTGTCACTGAGACCTTTTCAGAAAGTCAAAAAAAATATTTATAAGTACCAAGTACCTCATATTTTGAATTTTTAATTCTAAGTCCGATCATAAAAATCGACATATATCGTCAGGTACCAATAAATATACGACTTGGAATTCATTGAAAAAAATGTGAAAACGTAGGGTCTTCATAAGTGTCACTGAGACCTTTTCAGAAAGTCAAAAAAAATATTTATAAGTACCAAGTACCTCATATTTTGAATTTTTAATTCTAAGTCCGATCATAAAAATCGACATATATCGTCAGGTACCAATAAATATACGACTTGGAATTCATTGAAAAAAATGTGAAAACGTAGGGTCTTCATAAGTGTCACTGAGACCTTTTCAGAAAGTCAAAAATAATATTTATAAGTACCAAGTACCTCATATTTTGAATTTTTAATTCTAAGTCTGATCATAAAAATCGACATATATCGTCAGGTTAGTCAGGTACCAATAAATATTAGACTTGGAATTCATTGAAAAAAATGTGAAAACGTAGGGTCTTCATAAGTGTCACTGAGACCTTTTCAGAAAGTCAAAAAAAATATTTATAAGTACCAAGTACCTCATATTTTGAATTTTTAATTCTAAGTCTGATCATAAAAATCGACATATATCGTCAGGTACCAATAAATATACGACTTGGAATTCATTGAAAAAAATGTGAAAACGTAGGGTCTTCATAAGTGTCACTGAGACCTTTTCAGAAAGTCAAAAAAAATATTTATAAGTACCAAGTACCTCATATTTTGAATTTTTAATTCTAAGTCTGATCATAAAAATCGACATATATCGTCAGGTACCAATAAATATACGACTTGGAATTCATTGAAAAAAATGTGAAAACGTAGGGTCTTCATAAGTGTCACTGAGACCTTTTCAGAAAGTCAAAAAAAATATTTATAAGTACCAAGTACCTCATATTTTGAATTTTTAATTCTAAGTCTGATCATAAAAATCGACATATATCGTCAGGTACCAATAAATATACGACTTGGAATTCATTGAAAAAAATGTGAAAACGTAGGGTCTTCATAAGTGTCACTGAGACCTTTTCAGAAAGTCAAAAAAAATATTTATAAGTACCAAGTACCTCATATTTTGAATTTTTAATTCTAAGTCCGATCATAAAAATCGACATATATCGTCAGGTACCAATAAATATACGACTCGGAATTCATTGAAAAAAATGTGAAAACGTAGGGTCTTCATAAGTGTCACTGAGACCTTTTCAGAAAGTCAAAAAAAATATTTATAAGTACCAAGTACCTCATATTTTGAATTTTTAATTCTAAGTCTGATCATAAAAATCGACATATATCGTCAGGTTAGTCAGGTACCAATAAATATTAGACTTGGAATTCATTGAAAAAAATGTGAAAACGTAGGGTCTTCATAAGTGTCACTGAGACCTTTTCAGAAAGTCAAAAAAAATATTTATAAGTACCAAGTACCTCATATTTTGAATTTTTAATTCTAAGTCTGATCATAAAAATCGACATATATCGTCAGGTACCAATAAATATACGACTTGGAATTCATTGAAAAAAATGTGAAAACGTAGGGTCTTCATAAGTGTCACTGAGACCTTTTCAGAAAGTCAAAAAAAATATTTATAAGTACCAAGTACCTCATATTTTGAATTTTTAATTCTAAGTCTGATCATAAAAATCGACATATATCGTCAGGTACCAATAAATATACGACTTGGAATTCATTGAAAAAAATGTGAAAACGTAGGGTCTTCATAAGTGTCACTGAGACCTTTTCAGAAAGTCAAAAAAAATATTTATAAGTACCAAGTACCTCATATTTTGAATTTTTAATTCTAAGTCCGATCATAAAAATCGACATATATCGTCAGGTACCAATAAATATACGACTTGGAATTCATTGAAAAAAATGTGAAAACGGGGGGTTCATAAGTGTCACTGAGACCTTTTCAGAAAGTCAAAAAAAATATTTATAAGTACCAAGTACCTCATATTTTGAATTTTTAATTCTAAGTCTGATCATAAAAATCGACATATATCGTCAGGTACCAATAAATATACGACTTGGAATTCATTGAAAAAAATGTGAAAACGTAGGGTCTTCATAAGTGTCACTGAGACCTTTTCAGAAAGTCAAAAAAAATATTTATAAGTACCAAGTACCTCATATTTTGAATTTTTAATTCTAAGTCTGATCATAAAAATCGACATATATCGTCAGGTTAGTCAGGTACCAATAAATATTAGACTTGGAATTCATTGAAAAAAATGTGAAAACGTAGGGTCTTCATAAGTGTCACTGAGACCTTTTCAGAAAGTCAAAAAAAATATTTATAAGTACCAAGTACCTCATATTTTGAATTTTTAATTCTAAGTCTGATCATAAAAATCGACATATATCGTCAGGTACCAATAAATATACGACTTGGAATTCATTGAAAAAAATGTGAAAACGTAGGGTCTTCATAAGTGTCACTGAGACCTTTTCAGAAAGTCAAAAAAAATATTTATAAGTACCAAGTACCTCATATTTTGAATTTTTAATTCTAAGTCCGATCATAAAAATCGACATATATCGTCAGGTACCAATAAATATACGACTTGGAATTCATTGAAAAAAATGTGAAAACGTAGGGTCTTCATAAGTGTCACTGAGACCTTTTCAGAAAGTCAAAAAAAATATTTATAAGTACCAAGTACCTCATATTTTGAATTTTTAATTCTAAGTCCGATCATAAAAATCGACATATATCGTCAGGTACCAATAAATATACGACTTGGAATTCATTGAAAAAAATGTGAAAACGTAGGGTCTTCATAAGTGTCACTGAGACCTTTTCAGAAAGTCAAAAATAATATTTATAAGTACCAAGTACCTCATATTTTGAATTTTTAATTCTAAGTCTGATCATAAAAATCGACATATATCGTCAGGTTAGTCAGGTACCAATAAATATTAGACTTGGAATTCATTGAAAAAAATGTGAAAACGTAGGGTCTTCATAAGTGTCACTGAGACCTTTTCAGAAAGTCAAAAAAAATATTTATAAGTACCAAGTACCTCATATTTTGAATTTTTAATTCTAAGTCCGATCATAAAAATCGACATATATCGTCAGGTACCAATAAATATACGACTCGGAATTCATTGAAAAAAATGTGAAAACGTAGGGTCTTCATAAGTGTCACTGAGACCTTTTCAGAAAGTCAAAAAAAATATTTATAAGTACCAAGTACCTCATATTTTGAATTTTTAATTCTAAGTCTGATCATAAAAATCGACATATATCGTCAGGTTAGTCAGGTACCAATAAATATTAGACTTGGAATTCATTGAAAAAAATGTGAAAACGTAGGGTCTTCATAAGTGTCACTGAGACCTTTTCAGAAAGTCAAAAAAAATATTTATAAGTACCAAGTACCTCATATTTTGAATTTTTAATTCTAAGTCTGATCATAAAAATCGACATATATCGTCAGGTACCAATAAATATACGACTTGGAATTCATTGAAAAAAATGTGAAAACGTAGGGTCTTCATAAGTGTCACTGAGACCTTTTCAGAAAGTCAAAAAAAATATTTATAAGT